GACGCTACTAGGGGCTCCTGGCATCGCTACTAGGAGCAAGGACGCTAGTAGGGGCTCCTGGCATCGCTACTAGGAGCAAGGACGCTACTAGGAAAAATAGTTGTGTTTTTGTTTGAACTCATCTCCTAGGAACCCATCCTTCAACGATGGCAAGAATGGATGGACCGAGGAGTGTCCGTTCCCAGCTGAGGATCTGTCTGTTGACGCCATGAGTTTTTTTGGCATTGACCAAAAGAGGAAAAACTTGTACGTATCAGAGTTGTTTTTCTGCGTTTTTGAAGCGCACGTGTCTAGGCCCATGATGTACAACGGCAAGAACCTCACCTACAGCTGCAAGAACGAGGGGGTCTCAAACGGCGTGTCCAAGGCCTCAAGTCCAACAACTCGAGGCAAACAGTTTCTTAGCCCGCCAGTAGTGACATGTTCTTGACAGTCAATCACTGTGCAAGCGCTTCCGAGAGCAAATCAAAGTGTTGCCAGGCGGTTGGAGGCGACTCCACGGCGTATCATATCAAGGGGAACTGCTGGGAAGGTCGGGGCCGCTCCGAGCGCCCAACTGGGAAGTACCAAAGTGTTTGGGAACTTCAAAATGGTACATGCAATTTGTCTTCTGTATTGTCCTTTTGCTTGTTCTTGATTTTCTTTTATTCTTCCTACCCGGGGTAAGCCGCTATAGGAAGAGGTAAGATAGTAGTTGCTTAAGCAAGTTCCCAGGTAGGATGCAAGATAGCTCACGCTTCTTCAAGGAAGCGCTCGCACTATTCATTTGATTCCTAGATGTTTTGAAAAAAAACGACCGCATGGAGTTTGCCAGGGGGAGAAACAAAGCAGAGCAAAAAGAATCAAAGGAGTGCCTCATGGAACCAAGAAACCGAAGCAGGGCTTCAACACTTTTGAAAGGTGCCGAGGTCGTTTCTCACGAACATTCAGCCAGACACCTGTGACAATTGCAACTTGCTCACTTCTACTTCTAGTAGCTCCTGGCCTTACTATTAACAAGGTTCACTACTAGCAAAGGGCGCCCTTTTTCAGGTTCCAGAGGTGGCGTATACCAAGACATCAAGACGGAGCGGGTGGCTTAGACGAGTTTCTTTGCGTGATCGCGCTGGCATCGTTTTAATCAGTTGATGTTTGGGGTGTGTACTTAATGTGTTTGAATAAGTCCAACTTGTAAGGATAGGCTACACGTATGAACTTACCTTCAGAGTGCACGGTCCTCAGATTTTTGTGGCCACATCCAAGACCGCTTGGTGGTCAACTTTCGTAGCTAAGGATTGATGGATGGTTCAGCAAAAAGAACTCAAAAGAAGAAAAGAGCTGGGCGTCTTTGATGAAATTGGTCTGAAGTGGACATGCCACATGTGGAAGGCATGGTTGAATAGTGTCAAAGAAGAACAGCTGTGTAAACAGCTTGGCCAGAAGGCCTTTTGTTTGATGAAAGCGCCATTGCTTCTGTGATGTGGACACCTGTCTCACACGCTGCCTCACGCTGCTGCATGTTTTAGTGTGGAACATCTGCAATTTTGGGGTATAGTGTGCAAGCTTAGGGACCCTAGTAGCGTCCTTGCTCCTAGTAGCGATGCCCTTTGCTCCTAGTAGCTTCTTGCTCCTAGTAGTAAGGCCAGGAGCCCCTAGTAGCGTCGTTCCTGTGCAAAGTCTTGGTGAGTTCAGGTGGAGGTGCAAAGCCCGCCGGGTGAGACGCCTGTCATGGATGAGACGGTGAGGACATCGGCCTCACTGAAGGACCTCATGCGGTCATGAGGTAGTTCTAGTCATGTTCCGGTTCCATGGCTTTTTGGAGCTGTCCTCTTTGTTTGGAGCTGTCCAGAGACTCTTAGTTTCTGGGCGAAAGGAGCCTCAGCAGGGTCAATGGCAGACGAAAGGCCCATTCAAGCTGGAAACTCAGACATTGAGACCTTCGCATGCTTTCCTTAGCGGGTTTGCCGTCTTTCTGATCAGCGCATTTGGATGTTTGACATGTGTTTGAAACTGAATGAAACTGACAAAGCGGTCGTCTTTTGTTTTGCTTACCATTTCAAGGGGCTTTTCATGCATGCTCATCGCATGTTGCTGTGCCTCCAAGGTTTGTAGCTCTTGCAACAACCTCTCGTATTTTTTTCTACAGCGGTGCTCGCCTGAATTCATGTGAATGTTGGAGGGTTGTTCAGACAAAGTTTTGTATCTTCGTGCGAGTGGATTGGTCCAAGCAGTGCTCACCAATGCCAAGGTGGCACAGCTTGTACCAACATCGATGATGTCGCGGTCAGGAAGACCAAGGAGAAGACTTCAATGACGTGTCAAGCACGTTGCCCTTGGGTTTTGCCATCCCTTTGTCACTGGGGAAGCCACACCAAGTTCCGGGTTTGATGCGTGATGGTTTTATGCTTAGATTTGCACCCAACACGTCATTCAGAGTTGAGGACCCCAAACTCGTGGTCTTCTCCTTCTCAACCCTGGTGGAAGAGAAGCGCTGGATTGCGCCTCGTTTGAGCACGGGGGTCGGGGCGCAGTCAAGAGTCCCGCAGGGGTAGATGAAAAGATAGCAGGCTATGAACTATTATATAGCTGCAAAGAAAAAGTCTATATATGAATCCTCAAATGCAACCGTGCACACTGCGCGCCTGGTGTGGCAGGTTACGAAGGGCTCCTTCGTGGATGCAGAGAACAAGACCGACGGCAGCTCCATCCGCGCACTCAAAAAGAACGTTGTGGTCATGAAGCCATCAGAGGCTGTACCCTGAGCCAGACCACTTCCGCTGCACGTTTGGATCTCTCCACTACTCCACTACTTATTTTTCTCCATACTCAACAGTGCCAGGTAAGGGAGAATTGTGCGTGTGGATATGTTCATATTGTCCGACAGCCTACGAAGGAGGTAGTTTGTGCGGTTGAGTTACCGACCGAGACACCGTGCAAGGAGGCAGCAACATGTCGCACCACGACCCCACGACTGTCAGTTTGGGGAGGTTTGCTCGTGGGAAGATATGTCCTCTTCATCTGCTCCAGAAGGGCAGTTTTGTACGTTGAAACCGGAGCCATGATGCGTTTGGGAAGTTGCATTTGGGATGGGTTTCTGAGCATCAGGAAGTGCAGGTTGGAGCCGCAGGGCAGGCAGTAGGTGTTTGTAGGTGTCAGGCAGTGTCAGGAACAATAATCAAAACATGCAAATGAAGGATGTGCAGGAGAGACAGTGTTGAGGGGAGGAAAGAAGAACACCATTGTCGAGCCTGTTTGTGTTTGGGGACCCACAATTGTCTAGCCATGTCGAACCTCCATGCACCATTGCGGTGCCTTAGATAGGTTTCGGTGATGTCTTTGCTTTTGGGGTCCTTTGCTTTGGATTGGCCCTGGCAACTCTACTCTGGTGCTTTTGATGCTGCAATTGTTGCTTTGTCACGTTTGCTTTGCTATGATGTTATCTCTGCTCTAGTGACGTGCTGTTGCCTTCTACGCTTCTGCGATTGCTGTGGCTGCTGATATCTTTTGCTTTGGCCCTACACCTGCTTTGGAGCTGGCAGTTGAGGTCTTTTGCTTGGAACGCCTTTTTGCTCTTTGTGTGAAGCAAGGGGAATCATGGGTATCAGCAAGCTTTTTATTCCCACATAAAGTCTGCTATGCTTGCCAAAGACTGCTTCCCGGCCACACCACGCAGGGTTGCATGTCCCTCATGCATGGCTGTTCAGTCATTGACATAGTCTTTGCATAGCGTACGGCAAACTGCGTAATCATGCATAGTCATAGTCCGTTTCCGTTGCTTTGGGGGTACTTTTCAAGTTTTCATTAGAGCAGTCAATAAAGTGTTCACTAAAAGCGCCACTGGGAGCATCATTGACAATGCCGCCCAGTTGCTGGTCAATAAGGATTTTACGGACTATAGAAGACGAATAAGTTGAAGGACTACTGTAGTGATGGCCCGAAAGTTCAGGACAATGAAGCAGGACACTACGAAATGGAACCAGGTTCAGATGAGGCGAAGTAAATGTAGTTAATAAAGAAGTTGCCACATAGTTGCTCAACAAATAGTTTACTGATAGAGGCTCTGTATTATCATCACCTAAAAGTCACGTTGAGTGGAGTCCCACTAGAACCGTATCCAAATAGTAAGCAAGCAATGGGTCCTTTTACGCTTCAGTGAAAGGGATAGCACCTAGAGCTGATAGAGTGGTGAGTGATAAAATCAGCAAAACTGTGACCATTCGGTTCGGGCTTTTGGCTTTTCGGGCTTCGGCCGCACGACAGGCAGCCGGGGACAATGGACAGACCGAGGGTGAAAACGACATGGCAACTTGACAGCCGACAGGTTCACCTGTTTGTGTCACAGAGTCGAAACCAAGGACATCAATACCCGTGACTTGACCGGGGGTGGCTGCTCACGGGTCTCTGGCTTTGTCAGGCACGGACCGCGGACCGCGTCACTTCGCGATGGACACTGTGCTGTGCATCATTGTTTCGTTACGCTGTGCTGTGCAATCTTTTTCTGCAGGTATGTACCACAGCCCCTTTACCAGTACGACGACAATGAAGTGCTCCTCTGTTTTGAATGCCTTAACGCAAGTTGTTTTTTTTCTGTAGAAATGAAGGAAGGAAGCAACAAAGAAAAAAGAAAGAAACAAACACAAGATGACAGGCGCCAGATTTATTTAATTCTACGATGTTCTACAAGGAATGTGACTTTCAAGGTTCAAGTTGGGGCAATTTGGGTCTGAGGAACAACGGCAGCCTTCTCAGCAGTGTCCAGTCAGATTCCAAGGGGATGAGGAAAGTGGAACGGGAGGAGCTGAGCTTGTGTTCAAAAAGTGCGACGCATATTGTGTAAGGCCGAAAGTGGGGGTAGGCCGGAGTAAGCGGAGGTAAGCTACGATAGTTAACAAGTCACTAGCCTAAAAAGCTACGAACGTTGATTCCCGGATTTTTTGGGAAAGAAAGTGTCTGTGTCTTGACATGTCGCAATTCGTTTTCGATGAAAGAGCTCGGACCATCGCAGGTTCGAAATCCAAGAGCCCATCGGCCAGCGTGTTGGACCAGCTTACCAGGTTGGCGTTGTACCAGAGCTCAGTGGTGGAGCAGAAGCAAAGGACTGCACAATTGTAGAGCCCACTTTGAGGGAATGAGATGAAGTGAGGGACGGTGGAAGTAGAAGCTTCCAGTTTGACGTTTAAGGTGCTTTAAGTATATTGCAAGCACAGCACTGTGGCACTGTAGCACGTAAGTTTCAGGTGTAGTCCAAGTCCTGCTCGCTGAGACTGGCAGTGTGCTGAACGCGGTGCTGGATCCTTCACCAGAGAACATCCGCTTGAGGTGAGAAATGGGAAAGGAAGGGACGCCTGAAGTGAGTGATTGGATGCGAATCGGCCAGGGTGAAGGTCGAGCCCACGTCCGAAGAAGCCTCAGAAGCTCGTCTTACTTACACGCCGGAAGCTCAGAAGAGGCAGACGGGAGGTTTCCCGACCATCAACGGCATTCATTGGTGAAGAAACTCTCTGGAGCACGTAGCCTGCCTGGGGAGAACATCAAAGCAATGTTACATAAGCTATCTTCATTCCATTGAAGGCACAATGTGTTGTAAATTATAGATAATTCAGATGTCGTAAATGTCTTCGGGGAACCCTCCGTTTGCAGGGTCAGAAGAGCATTCGATGTTCTTTTTGGGGGGGAGTTGGCCGCAGAAAGCTTGCAGGTAGCTATTGCAGTAGGGGGTAGTCTAGCAGCTCAAGCAGCTACTAGGCTTGGATGCACTCTATGAAGAAGCCTCCAAACTCCTGTGTGGGGGAGAACCCCTCGCATGATCGATGTGTTTCCAAAGCTCCTAGTAGCGTCCTTGCTCCTAGTAGCAATGCCCTTTGCTCCTAGTAGCTTCCATTTTGGAAGCATAAGTTTCAGGAAATCCATTTTGACAATTTGATTTGTTTCATGTATCAACAAATTTGGCAGATTCCAAGCAGGGAAGGTGCCTCCCCACCGTTTCGACATGCGTTGGCCGAGGTTGGAATTGCAGCTTTACTTCTTGTGCAAGGCAGACTCTTCCGGATTCAACCGTTTCGTGCATCCTCTATTTTTCGACATCCTTAAGTCGCGTGAACGAAGTCGGGGAGGTGTGTGATGTTATGCACCCAATCTGGTGTCGAGCGGGTAGCACGTGCCCGCCAAGAGATGAAAAAAGATTGAGATGATCCACGCACAAGCCAAGCCAAGCTGCCAGAATAGGTGTTGTAGAAGATATTCTGCTAATTTGGTTAAGCACGGCAAGCACAAGGTGGAAAGTGCATCGGAATTGCTGCGACGCTTCACTGTCCAAGATGTGCGACACAAAAACCAAAGCTCAAGACTGGGTGTCAGATGTGGCTTTGATTGCTCGCCCCGAGCTAGATGCTATCACCCTGAAGTTGTAAAACGCTTTGTCATAGCTTGGCATGGTCGCATCAGTCAAACAGTTGCAGAAAGAGGAAGACACACACACACACATTGACGAAGTCAGCCCAAGTAGCTTAGCCGTAGTTCAACTGGAAGACAGCAACAACAATGTAATTGATATGTTTTTGAAGTCTGCACTACAACCACATGGAAAATTGATGGAATGGGATATCGTCAACCCATCTCAACCCAAAGCAGTAGCGATCCAGTGCACCGTGCTGTTTCAGGGCGGAGGTGACTCGAGAAACGACTGGAAGCTCAACACCTACGAATACTCAGGCCGAGCAATCACACCGCACGACACTACTTCGATGTGGTGAGACAATCAAACGTTTGTTTTCCCATGTTTTCTCCCTTTGGGTCTTGAGAGCACGAGGACAGTCATTTGCAATCAATGTTTCTTGGCGTGTTTTGCCTTTTTCTTCCTTTTTCTCGGTGTGAACACATCTTGTTCTCGTCTGAAACCCGAGGCAACGATGGTTTGTGCATCTCTTTGGCCGCGCGTGATTCTGTGGGGATGGGCTGCCATGAGGTAACATGCAGGCGAAGAAAAGCAACAGATCTTTCGTGAGAAAAGATGCATAGGAATCTGTCACTTGTTGAATCAATGACAAACACTTATATCAGTGCGATTTGGCTTTGTGAACTCAAGTGTGAGGTAATGTTCCATGCCGACTGATTCGGAGTTTAAAGTGCTTCCAAAATGGAAATCCAACTGGAATGGCCACCAATCAACGTAACGACTGCCACAAGTTACAAATGGGGTAGAGCAAGGTGCTCAATTTGTAGGGGATGAAAATCCAGTGGAGGATGCAATGATGGCATGATCTGTCCCTGCAGGCAGAACCCCACCTCCGATGCCAGCCTACAGCCCTGCAATGAGGAGGACTGGCTAGCATCTCTAAACAAAAGTGAAATGATGTGAAATGTAAATGGTCTCCAAATCCCCGAGATCTCTATCATGGTTTTGTGTGCTAGCATCTCTATTAGACACCTTTGTTTTTGTGGAATTCCAAAGGACTGGGCGCAGAACTTCTACCCTGACGGCCGCCTGATGCGCAGCGCATCGCCAGCCGACCGGTGCCTTGCGGTAGACTACACCATGGTGAAGTCCGCTGGGTGGGGGACACAGTCTGGGCAGCTGGTCGACACAGTTAGGGAGAGAGTAATCGATATGTTTTAGGCCTCCTACTTGATTGGGTAAGCGACTACTTACTTGAGTAAGGAGGTAAGCTACTAGCTACATAAGCTACACATGGATGCAGAAAGGCTCACGCTGATTTGGTAGACTGTCGAGGAACTGCAAGCCCATCACGCTGAAGCTTTGTGACGAGTCCGATCCGGGGCAACGGTGGACCATCAAGGGCGGAAGCTCTCCGCAGGAGAGATGAATTAAAAGTGGGTAAAAAGATACTTCATGTAGATCGAATCAAGTGTCACTTGGTCAGATCTGGAAAGATAAAGTCAAGTTGAGTGTCCTCTGAATTCCTCATCGGTTCCATGTACTTTAAAGAACGCTCTTCCCCCCAAGGCTCGACGAGTCAGCAAACCACTGCTTTGCAGGATGTGGCAGAGCTTCGAATGGAGGATGGCCTTGTAGCTTCCGTCCCAAAGGCGCTGAATTGGGGAATGAAAGAGTAAACGAAAAGAAAGCTGTTTTGCAGGTAGAAGCGTTGCTAGAAGTTCCAGACCGGCCGTTATGTTTCTATGTTAGTGTGAAACAGAGGGTCAATCCAGCATGGAGACACGATCGTAGCTGTGTGCAAGCATCGACCGAACCGTACGCCACATGACCTGTGGCTCAAGCCATGACTCGCAGCGCAAAACAGGAGCGCAACACGTTGCTGTTTTTCGTTCACGAACGGTTGCCGATTTCATATTGGCAGCGGAGCACGACTCCGGGGGTTTTTCTTTGGGTGGCCCAGGCCTTCAGGAAGACCCTGTTCCCTTTTGGGGGATTCGACATTTTTTCCACCTTTGGCCACGACGCCATGTCGATCGTGGAATGTCTGCGATGGCAGACCTTTGCGGCAGCCCAAGATGATGCTTGGAGCACCGAAGCGAAGTCTGGTGTACCACGCTATGACGGCGAGGTCAGTCGCCTGGCGGAATACCAATTCCGCGTGAGGTTGAGGCAAGCTCGAGAAAAGGCCATGGACGAGAGCGAGGTCAAGAAACTTGGTCCACTAGCTCTGAGACTAGTGGACGGGCTCCGTGGTCCTGCACTACAAGTAGCCCGAGCTTTGCCCGTGGACCGCCTAGCCGGCGAAGATGGCACCAGCGTCCTCCTCAAAGCCCTGCAGAGCTCTTTGCAACCGAGGTCACGACAGGAGGCAAGAGATCTGTATCAGATCGGGGCGCAACAAGGAGGAGTCCTTTCGCGGCAACAAGGCGAGAGCATTCCTTCATATGTTCTTCGCCGGAAAGCATGGTACAACCTCATGCTCGACATGGACAGCAGCCTGAAGCTCCCAGAAGCAATCCTCGCTGAGCAGACGCTCCAGAACTCAGGGATCAGCAGCGACCACCAACTGCTGATCAGGGCTGCAGTCCATGGGGATGTCACCATGGAGAAGATCTGCGAGGAGTTGGTTGCGCAGCACAGCAGAGTTCATGAACATGAACTCCGACGTGGGAAGGGTGGTACATTTGGACGCCACTCGAACTATGGCAAGAGCTTCAACTCCAAAGGCTATGGCAAGGATCGATTTCGCAGCTGGTCCCGAGCCTACCACGTGCAGCCTGCTGATGAGTACTATGACTGTGAGGACTGGGAGAGTCACTCGCAGAGCCTTGGAGGTTATGAAGAGTTTGATGGCTACCACGTCGACGAGGCCTACGCCTACGTGAATGACGAGGATGAGGTGATTCACTCCGTCTTCATGAACATGCTTGAAGAGGGCCTCGATGAACAAGACCCTGAAGCAGCGGAGTATGCCGCTGAAGTGCTGCAGACCGAGGCTGAGGCATTCTTTGTGAGGGATCGTGCAGGCCAGACTGGCCATCGTGGCTTTGGCGGCTCACCTCGACATTTTCAAGTACAAGGTCATCTGACCATGGAGGAGCGCAAAGCCCGTGTACAAGCTTTGAAGGCCAAGACCCAGTGCCGCGTTGAGAAGGATTGGCGTGGCAGCACCGGCACGACATGGCAGTGGAAGTGCAAGACTTGTGGCCATGTCAAGAAGGGTCAACGACCTCTCATCAACCAGACTGGAGCTGGCGGAGGAACTTCATCGACTACTACCTCGACGCCCTTGAGCTCAGGTACGGTGCCCCATACCCAAAGGATTGCGGAACTCTTCTCTGTGTCTGTTGAGCTGCAAAACGATCTTGGAGGTGAACTTTCGGTCAACACCCTGGACAAGATCTATGAGAAGTGCAAGTCAGCGGTGTTCGGAGGTGGTTCAACAGCAGTGCATGATCCTGGAGGTGATCGATCGCAAGGAAGTCCCTCAGCTTCTGATCCCATTGATCTCAAGGTGTACCAGCGGAAGACTTTTGCAAATGGCACCTTCAAGGGACAAACCTTCCAGGAGATCTACTCCTACGAGAAGACCTATGTGAAGACGACGCTCACCAAGTTTGAGAATGGCAACCTGAAGGATCCTTGCTTGATTGAGTTCGCCAAGTACTGCAAGGTCATGAAAGAGCAGGAATCTGGTTCTGCCTACATGGTGAGCGATGAGACGGAGACGGAAGAGCTCTATGTGATCCTCGACACTGGCTGCAACAACACGTGCCATGGGTCAAGATGGATGGAGAAGTTCATGCGCTACACCGGAATGCAACCGGAGCTGATGCCCGCAGAAGGCCGCTTTCGAGGAGTCGGCGGTAAAGTGGAAGTGTCCGGGAAGAGATCCATTCCTGTTTGCGTGAAGACCTTGGACGATGAGCTGGTTCCCGGAAACATCACTTCCATTGAGCTGGACAACTCGGACACGCCGTTGCTTTTGAGCTCCAATGCCCAGAAGTCGCTTGGCTTTGTTCTGGACATGTCCGAGTACGCCGCCTACAGCAAGACCCTCGACAAGGAGCTGGAGATTGTGAACTTGAATGGACTTCCAGCTTTGAGGCTCCATCCAGGTGACGAGAACAACGAAGGCATTGCAATGGTTCTTGCAGAGGACTATGTATCGGAGGAGAATGAAGTCCCTGCGATTGACATCGGCACGAAGGCCCATGAAGAGAACCTGACCGACTCCGAAGACAATGTCACCAGCAGCGGAGATTCCAATGAGACGGCATCCAATGAGACCGATGCCAGTGAACGCCATCTTCCGCTACATGAATGTTCTGCCAAGACCTTGAGCAAAGGTCAGAAGAAGATGCTTTGCGAGAGCCTGGATGACATGGAGAAGGAGGACTGTGCCATGTGGAGCACGTTGCAGGGAGAGACAAAAAGGCACAAGAAGATGTTGCCTCGTGGCTGTCGTTCTTTCATGAAGGAGATCTTTGCTGGAGCAGCCACTTTGAGTCTCTTGGCTGTGACCATGGGTTTGAGCATCAGCGCACCAGTGGACATTGAGATTGATGAGCGCTACAACCTTTTGCAGAAGGCCAATCGTGATCGCCTTTGGCAGGAGATCGAAGACGATGATCCCTATCTTTTGACGCTCTCACCACTGTGCGCACCCTGGTCGTCTTGGCAACGTCTCAATGCCACCAAGAGCGAGGAGATCCATGACAAGATCATGATGAATAGAAAAGAATGGTATCCAGTCATTGCTTGGATTGCAAGGCTTGTGGAGCGCCGACTTGAACTTGGCCGTGAAGTTCTCTTGGAAAATCCCTGGCCCTCACTCCTTTGGCAGCTGAAGTGCTTCACGGACATGATGGACAAGCAGCTCCGAAACCAAATGACTGGAGAGCCATTGGAGCTCATACGACTGGACCAATGTATGTATGGTTTGGTCGGAGAAGGTGGTCTACCACACCAAAAGGCCACTGGCATGCTCCTTTCCTCGGCAAGAATGAAAGCAAGACTCTGTGCACTATGTGATGGACAGCATCATCACGAACAACTTGAAGGAAACAAGACCAGGAAAGCTCAGCAATGGCCACAACAGTTGTGCAAGGCCATCCTGGAGAGTGCCCTTGAAGAAATGAAGTCGCAAGTCATTCGACATGCCTTCCCGGCTGAGTTCGAGATGGAAGAACGTGAGGGCGCCGACTATATGGACGGCATCCACGACTTGGATGATGTCGCTGAGCAAGTGCACAAGAGGAGGCGCATTGATCTCAACGCCCTTGACACCGAGGAGGACCATGAGCAGTCGCAAGATCGTGTGGTTGACGACCTCCTGCGCCAGAAGGAGAAGCTCAGAAAAGAAAAGTGGCTGAAGATCAGCCGAGAGGAGCGGATCGCAGTTAGAAGGTTGCACCAGATGATGGGTCACTGCAGCAACCAAGCTCTGGTCAGGATGCTTCGCATGTCTCTGGCGAAGAAGGAAGTCATTGATGCCGCGCAACACTTTCGATGCCAGAGCTGTGATGAGATGAAGTCCGATGAACGTCCAAGGACAGTGAGGCCCATCAATCCCTGCCATCAGATCAAGTTCAATGACGAGCTGGCAGCTGATGTTTTTGAAGTGGTTGATTGCAAAGGTGCACGACGCAGCATTCTTTCTCTTTTGGACATGTCCACGCACTACCACGTGGCAGTCAGAGTCGCACCTGGAGGCACACCTTCCTCAAAGATTTGCGCTGAAGCAATCAACGCCAGCTGGCTTTCATGGGCAGGTGCACCTCGTTCATTTGTTTGCGATCAAGGAGTTCACAACAGAGGACGTGTTGCAGCATTGCTTCAATCCCTAGGCACAGAGATCCGTCGTGTTGGAGCACGAGCACCTCACCAGCTGGGAACTGCCGAAAGGCATGGCGGCATGCTCAAAGAAATGATGAAAAGAGGCATCCATGATCGACAACTTTTTGGATCCTCTGTGATTGCCGCATTGTGCTCGGAATGTGCCAGAGCAAAGAATGTCCTCGTGAACAATCAAGGTTTTTCACCGGCACAATGGGTCCTTGGCCATACTCCTGAAGACCTTTCAAGCTTGACCGACCAGGACCCGGAGAACCACTTGGGCGTTCACCAAGGATTGGTTGATGCCGAGGAGAAAACTCTACAAGAACAATTCATGCTGCAATTGTTGATGAGGCAAACAGCGAAAGAGATGTACACTCAAGTTGACAGCTCTCAGCGCATCAGGCGCGCACTCTTGAGGAAAGCCGTGCCCATCAGAGGACCCTACCATACTGGTGATCTGGTTTGTTTCTCGAAACAGGGCAAGTGGTATGGGCCAGCAAGAGTGTTGACAACAGAGGGCAAGTCTTCGCTGTGGTTGGTACATGGAGGTGTCACTGTGCTTGTTGCTGAAACTTCATGCCGACCGGCCTCGACTCAGGAGATTTTGAAGAAGCATGTTTGGAGCTACGCCGTGCACGGAAGAGGAAGCGTGAACTGTATTCCACCAACCCTGAAGAAGAGGACTACCTTCCCTTCGCTGATGATGGAGATGAAGCCCGTGCTTCGAGGCAGAGGACAGAACAACAAGCTCCATTCGTTGATCTACAAGATCACGGACACGTGGGTGTCATGCCCACTGCACCTGCAGCACCTGCTGCAGAGCCTGCAACAGATGTCACTGCTCCTGGAATAGCTGCTACCCCAGAAGCTTTGATGGACGATGACTCACCAGAGGATGTGGTACAGGACTCTTCATCAAGTCCGAGCCCTTTGTCTCCACCACCGGGTCTAGAGCAAAATGCTGAAGATATCCCAGTGGAGCACTCTGGCACGAGCGATACGAGCAGCTTGCAACCTGAATTCGAAGTGAGCCCAGGAGTGACGCCGGAAGCTCATGAACAGGAAGTGCCACCGTCTGTAACCCCTTTGACGCAAGCACTTCGCCTTGATCCTGACCGGCTTGATGGGATCACACCGCCGAGAGCGAATCATGTCTATGATGAATGTGTACGGCAACCTCCCTCACTGGCTTTCTTGATGGGGCGCCAAGAACATCGTGTCAAGAAGAAGGCAAAGAAGGCGCAAAGAACTAAGAAAGCTGGAGCTGGGCGTGAGTTGGTCTATGAGAAAGAGTCCAAGGAGGTCCAAGAGAAGCTCGACGGCACCAGACGAAAAGAGTGGGACAATTGGGCAAAATACACCGATGGCCAATGGTTGACTGAAGAGAAACTTCAAGAGCTCAAGAAGGAGATCCCTGGCCTACGGGTGATTCCCACTCGATGGGTGGACGTCGACAAGGCAGAGGTCACCGAAGATCCAATGCTGAAGTCCCGACTTGTTGTGAGAGGCGACCTCGAAGATGCTTCTCAGACGAGGACAGACAGCCCTACTTGCTCAATGCCTATGCTGTCGCTCTCTCTCATCTTGGCAGCCTGCCGAGATGTTGATTTGTGGACCGCGGAGACATCAGTGCAGCGTTTCTTCAAGGTTCCAAGCTTGACAGGACACTCATCCTCTCCATGCCCCGTGGAGGAATTCCTGGAGAACCTGACGGTCGCTACTACATGGTCTCATCGACCGTGTATGGAACCAAAGATGCGCCAAGAGGTTGGTTCAAGAACCTGCACAGCTCTCTCCTGGAACAAGGCTTCACTGCCATTCCACATGAGGCAGCCGCCTACAGCCTGAAGACTGGCGACTACCTGGAAGGCTTAGTTGTCGTCCATGTGGACGATTTGCTTTGGACAGGTGGCAAAGTGATCAACGACAGAATGGAAGCCATCTGCCAGAAGTACAAGTTTGGTAAGCTCTCCAAGAATGAGTTCAAGTACTGTGGCCGTGAGATCAAGAAAGATGACACTGGAGTTCACATCAGTTGTCCGAGCCTCATCGACCGAGTTCGGCCAGTGTACTTGTCTGCAGAACAGCGCAAAGCAAAAGATGCTCGAGTGCCAGATCATGTGAAAGATCAGTTGAGGAGCATCAGTGGCAGCTTAGCATGGTTGGCCCGTGTTTGTCGCCCTGACCTTTCGTATGCCGTGAGCTACCTGCAGTCCAATGTGTCGCAAGCGACCTTTAGCGATGTCATCTTTGCCAACGGCATTGTCAAGATTGCAAGAGGCAGCAAAGATGTTGGCATCAGCTACCCACTGAAGCCCTTTAAGTTCGAAGAAAGCATGATCATTGGCATCCAAGACGCTTCATTTGCCAATGACGCTGATGTCAGTGGGAGCGGCAAGAGATTGGGACTGAGGAGTCAGAGCGGCCGCTTGATGTGTCTGGCTCACGAGTCCTACCAGGACACGCATGAGGGCAACCTGCTGCTACTTGATTGGCACTCCACCTGCATTCGCCGAGTTTGCAGGTCGACTCTCCAAGCGGAGACCCTTTCGATGATCGCCGGCCTAGAAGAATGTGAGCACATGAGGTATGTCTTCCACGGACTGTGGAATGAACACGGCCGAGACCTACGGCAATGGCAGGTAGCAGCTCAGGACCAGGTGAAGATGAACCTCTACACCGACTGCTACTCCCTAGCAGAGCATGTGGCACATCCTGGACTTCAGAGTGTCGAGGACAAGAGGTTGGCCATCGACCTTAGCTCAACACGCCAGGTGATCTGGCGCCGGCCTGGAGAGCTGCTGGGTGATCCACTCCTGACGGATCATCTTCCGGCAGATCGAACGACAAACCTCACCTGGACAAGCACGGATCGCATGCCTGCCGACTGTTTGACCAAGGCAATGAAGCCTGGAACTCTCCTCGAGGTCATGCGAGGCCACAGCTTCGATCTTACTCCAAAAAAAGGAAGATCGGTGTGAAACAGAGGGTCAAATCCAGCATGGAGACACGATCGTAGCTGTGTGCAAGCATCGACCGAACCGTACGCCACATGACCTGTGGCTCAAGCCATGACTCAGCGCAAAACAGGAGCGCAACACGTTGCTGTTTTTCGATCACGAACGGTTGCCGATTTCATATTAGGCGACAAAGAAGAACAGCCACCGTTGTACTATGCTTTAGCATCTCCAAACGTGAGAATGTAGGTTCTTTTCTCTAGAATAGCATGTTTTCTTCAATCAACAATTAAGAAAATAATAGCTTTATTGGTACGGCCAGGAGCCCTAGTAGCTTCTTGTTCCTAGGGCGAAATGCGTTGCGCCTTTCAAACTCCTTCAGGCGGCCTCAGAGCTTGCTACCTTCGATATGAAGGTGGAGGTGCGGGGCCATGTGGGGGGGCTGTGTTTTCACGTATGCTATCATACTATGCGTAGTCAATTCGACCTCAGATATTAACCTCAACCTCTACCATCTTCGCATTTGCTTAGGATGGCTGGAATAAGTCAATTCTGCAAGGCTTAAAGCCCCTGCTGACACGGCTTGTAGCTCGACCCGGCTCACACTTGCGATGGTTCTCCGAGCGATCGACTGCTGAGTTCCAGAAGAGTCCGATGTAAGTTCCTTGAAACGTTCATGTTTTTGTACTCTGACAATCGATCAAACCGAAAGGATGACGGCTGAAACCCCACGGCAGAAAGCACTGAATCTTGTCTTCACTTGTGAGGCCTGCAAAGAGCAGGAGCAGGGAGGGCCGGGAAGGGTCGTCATCGTGTCGATCAGACCGAGAACCCTCTTTGGACAGAAGAAAGGACTCCGTTGTGGAGATATTGGTGACACAAGAGTCTAATCAATTTCATTGTAGTAATGGTGTTGCGGCTGTAAAAAGGTGTTTGCTACAACGAAGCTTTGTCCAACACTTCATCGTCATCTCGTCCGTGTCGAGGATGTCTCCCGAGTGAAGGGTTGGAACCAAATCAAGTCTCCGATGGCACGAGTCTCAGCATGAAGGCGTTTCAACTGGGACGAGTAGACCAACTAGGTCCTCAAACAGTTAGTTTTGGAAAAGAATAGTTAAAGGACTCACTATTGAAAGACCTTGAATATCTTGAATCCTTTTTGACGAAGCAAGAGCCTCATCCAGGCAGTGATCGAGTGCCCTTGCTTCGTTTTGCATTGATCGGAACGTCGCTGTGTAGTGTTGCTTGTTTCACCATTTAAGTTTGGCTTGCGTAAACCTGGCCGAAATAGGCACGTGCTCAGCTCGCCTCAGGTGGCAAACCTGGTGATGGCGCACGAACTAAGCACCAATTTCACTCAGAGGGTCTTCGGAGGCACCTTGGATCGACAGCTTGCAACAGCTTGCAGCTTGCAGCTATCAGCTCAGCTAATGGGCGATAGCAACGTGGTAGCACATCTGGAGCGACCAGCTTTTCACATGCCTTTTCATTGGGCAGATTGCTGACATTTAAAAAAAAGAAAAACATTGTGAGTTGCGACAAACATGGCAATATGGATTGGGTGACGGTCACCCCTAGAGATGATTGAAGTCCGGCCAGTCGTACCTTCAAGACCTCACTGAGTTTGTGGTGGTATAGAGTATGTAGATGTATGATACATGTATCTAGAGTCTAGACAGCTCTATTATCATTGAATCGTTACCTACTGGCCAAACTACTAGTCGGCGATGGCCTCCAACCTAGACGATGCCAGGCGGAATCCGGCTGGTGACCAGCATTTGGGCTGAGGCTAGACGGGAGACTCGGACGAACGAGTCCACAAAGAGTCAGGAATAAGTTCATTCGCACCATTCCGACGTTTCTTCTGTCCCTTATAAGGTCCCTTAATTATAAGGTCCCTTAAACAGCATGTTTCGGTTGTTTCAAGATGGTTCGATATTCCGAAATTCCGATTTGTGTCTTGAGCAGACACCTCCGAACAGGCTATTTGCCCATGGTTCTTCAATCCGCCTATCCACACTGACAGTTTCATCCTCAGAACAGCCGTTGGGCTTTTGTCCTGCAGCTAAGATCAAGACCATTCCCAGATATTCCCAGACTCATTCTCAGCGTTTTGAGATAGCATGAGGAGGGTACGCAACTTTTAAAAGAAGGAAAGGTTGGACACCTATATTGAACGCTTCCCTTGTTATGATTTGCACATCAATTTGTGGTGGTATGGTTGTTTCTCCTCTGGAAATCCCTATGCTTGAGCCTTTTCTCTAGAACTTTGCTACAATGTTCTAGACGTTTTGCTTTAACTCTATGTTCAATACTTGTTTTCTACGAGTTTCTTGTCTGTACTTCTACTCTGGAAGTCCCTATTGTTGAGCATGTTTTTAAGAAGTCTCTATTTGCCTTTTCTTTCAGAATGGATTTCTACTTGGTTTTCTTTATTTTTCCAGATATTTGCCTTTCCATGCTTTCGTGCCAGAAGTGTTTGTGTTGCACACAGCACTGTTTCTGTTCGATTACAATAATGCCAGGCACTTTGGAAGTTTCGTAAGAAACCTCATTTGGTCAGCCCATTTTTTGTGTCTTCATAGCATATCATTGCTGTCAGCTGAGGCAAGCTAATAAAATGCTATACAACCAGCTGTGTGACCCTGAGGAGGATGGTGAGCCCTGGACTCAGAACTGAACGAAGAAAAGGAAGAAAGACGATGTTGTGAGAACTTGAGGAACTGCTGTGCTGCAAAGGGTGGCACCTTCATGTGTTCGCAGTGTCCTCCTCAGTCGAAGTTCGCTTCGGCAGGTCACACTGCCTTGGCGCCGAATGTCAGGTCGTTCCCCTACATGTGCAAAGCCAAGAAGAATGGCAAGGACCCCTCGGACTACTTCTGCTTGCGGCCAAGCATGAACAAAGGTATCCCCACTTGACTTGGAAGTTGTGCCACATCACCATCCGAGGCGTCAAAGAAAATGCTGACTGTGAACAGTATGATGGTCGTCGACCCTGCGAGGACAGGGCGATCAAGTTTGTCACAACCTATATAAAGTCAAATTGCCAAGTGGCATGGAGGTGAGGTTTCTCAAACAGTATATATTGTCAAGAGCGGATTGAACCCTGGCGAACTCGGCACCCTTTACCGCATTCGCTTGAGGCTCAAGGCTATATATGTGTGTGTTGTCTATTGACATTTTGTGATTAGCAGGGGGTGTCCGGGATGCACACTTGATTGGCACCAACGAAGACGCCAGTGTTGCATGAGTGAAATCGATTCGCTAGATCGACGTACCTGCTTTGTCGTGTCTTGGAGGTTTCCAGGTTGAGGTCATGCTGCAGTAAAGGGCTAACACGGCTAACGCGCTTCCTGACACTTGGAGACTTCGGAGCTTTGAAAGCTATGGGTGGACCCAGCAGTTTACCGTTTATTCAGGCCTTGGTTCAGGCTTCTTCGTTTGGTGGCCTTCCATATTTAATCTCGTGATATCTTGTGTGTGTTGTGTGTCCCACCCTGTTTCCAAGTTCATGCCACAGCGCACGCTCCACGTTTTCGCAAGCTACAGACAGACGATGTTCAGAGTCTTGTACGGCAGCAGGGGACTGCAGCTGGCTCCATCTATGGTCCAAGCTATTGAAAAGAGAGGGTCTGCAGCGTTTCTTGCACTAGTAAAAACGTCATTAATGAAAACTGCGCAGGAGGTCGCCGCCTGGCTCAAGGTCTCTAAACTTGTCACTCTCAGACAGGCTTTGCTCAGGCATGCCCCGGCCGCACTCAGCATCACAGGTGTAGCCTCACATACACACAGTAGCGTCCACACAGCTCCAGACAGCGCGGTGTCAATCACAGGCTTTTGCAGAAGCGGTGGAGCTGTCAGGATCTTCCTGAGCTCCTAGCCCCTTTGGTTTACTGGGGCAATGGTGAAGGAAAAGTGCAGCGGCATCATTGCACAACATTGTCATCTTTCTCCCGACGTGGTCATCGCTGGCGCAACATTGTAAACCAAATAAAGCGGGTATCAACGCATATTATGTCAGGGGCCTTTTTGGTTGTGTTAACTCTGCCGAGTTGAAACAGTGTCTTTCAGGTGTGAAATGAACGGAAATGTCTTTTAGAATCGAGAAGAGGTTTTCCGTTGAGAGCCCAGCTACGGTCTGTGTGAGAAAAGGCGGTCCGAAACCGGCTTCGCGGGTTTCGAAACATCCCTCCAGGCTTTTCATCCCCGTATGTGCTGATATTCAAACATGTAGGGCCGATGAAATGCGTTCCGCCTGTGTTTGACGGTGCAGTTCTGGGCGGGTACTGCTTAAGAAATGAGGGAAACGTGGAAAGTGGGCGATTCGTGAAGGAACCCCCAAACTCCACACCAATAGATCGAGACAGGCCACGGGACTAGACGTCGATTGACAGTCGTCATTTTGGCCACCCCTTTTCTTGTAAGCCTTCCGAGGGTTTGTCCAACTCTCTCCCTGTCGGTCCTCTTTCAATCTGGAACAGAACAGCTCTCGACTTCGAACGCGCAGGGCCCTCCTGGCAAACCTGGCAGTGAAGGCGAGGTTGGCGAGGAAGGAGAACCTGGCGAGGCACAGCTACAAACCGGAATCAGAGTGAAAATTGATTGTAGAATCATAGAATGCATGAAGGCAAGCAAACATACAGAAGGTTTACAGGTTAGGGTTTGGGGTTTAGGGTTCTTCAATGTTCATGTGGTGGGGTCTGCACGCCAAACAGTCTCCGGTAAAATAGGCGCACGGCTTGTGTAAACAATTTGAAATCGGTGGATGCGGAGCAAAAATGAGTAAAAGAGGAGGACAAATTCGAGGCGGAATCCCCTGCTCCTTGGGATGAGCGACCAGCACTCACTACCTTCAGGCTATTGCATTTGGTCTTTGAAAACTGCAGGAGTTGTGCCCATAATTGATTGTTTTTCACAGTTGAACAGAGGAAAGTCGTTCACCACTCGGCTGTTTTCAGCCTTTGGCAAGTCAGTCAATGTTCGTATGTGACATTCTGCTTGGAACAAGTGGCCCCACAAGAGCATGATTGTTTGCTACTGTACAAGCATTTAGTGTGTCATGTCCAGACCGGTTCTACTGCCCTTTGCACTACCTTGCACGCCAAGATCACACGTTAGCCTGTAGAACGTTCTTGCACAAGCTGGTTTGCACAATACGCTCTGATTGCCAAATGAAGTCCCCAAGGAAGGCCGTTCAAGAACGAAGCTTGCGACCAGCGCCAGCGTAAACGCCAATACCCAGCCTTTCCTAGAAATGACGACACTTGAACCTCCGTTGTTTGGGAAAAAGACGACACTTCATAGTGTACACTGACATTCCTCTATAGGATGTTCAACCGAACCACTTCAGGAAGGCGGGAAAGCGCAACAAAAAAGTGAAAGCGTCAAGCTCAACATCCGTTGCGAAAAGCCCCGATACCGCTACCGTCGCTACCCACTGCCATTGTGGCAGTTGCGAAAGACACATGCTCCGAAGACAAAGCTAGCGTGCTAACATCAAACTAACACGATGCCTGCAGAGCCTACGATGCTCAAAGTATCTTGGAGCGCTCACTTTCCAGTGGAACAACATCGGATTCGAGCCATGCAGGGCAGAAAGAGCAAACAGGCATTTAACATGTCGTGTAATAACTTGACTTGTTTCATGTACCCTCGTGAGTCTATGTATGGAAACAGCTGTGGCTCAATGAAACCACGTCAGAGAACTGCAGTTGACGGAATGAATGCTTGGAGTTCTTTGAGAGCGTAGTGGGCTCCGTCCTTGCTCCAAGCGACCAACAGGATGGCATTGAAGGACCTGCAGGGTTTGCCAGTACCTGAGATGGGCTTTGGAGAAATTGACTAAAGGTTTTAAAAGTGAAGAGCTTAAGAAAGAACCTAAAAATGATTTTTAAAAAAAACAAACAAACTCGAGATCTAGGTCTCAGACCTGGCGGTGCCTGTGCCTACAGGGGCACACCACTTGCTCTCACAGCCGGCCACCAATGTAGAGGTCTTGAGTGCCTAGGAGAGCATAGAGTTGTGCTTGTCTTCCGAATGCGATGCCTTTTCTCTCCAAAAATAGTTTGGGCAGTCTTTTAAGAGTCTTTGGTCCTGAGAGTATGAAGTATTAGAATGTATTAGAGTGTCGTAAATGGTAACGTGCACAAACTGGAAAGTCGAGTTCAGCACGAGGCAGTTCACTTGTTGAGGTGCCCTCATTGTGAATGGTGGCATGGCTTTTCTCGTCTTCCGAAGCCTCAAGGTCTGTGGTTTCACTCGGTTTCACTCGGTTTCACTCGTCACTCATGTTTCAGTACTTTCGGGACTATGGACTACCTCCAGCCAAACCACAGTAAACCCCAAAGAAGATGCCCTTTGCATCGGGAAGCGAAGTAAGTGATTGAATGGTGGAGGCCGTTGAAGGGAAGGATGCTTCGGATGCTTCTGTTCTTTGTGCTTTCGCAGTTTTCACAGTTTGCCAGGCCAAGATTCGAGAGAAGTTTGAAGGTAAGGCTTCAGCAGCTTCAGCTCGGGCGACCCAGTAGTGCTACGTTCGGCCTTTGACGAAAGCTGTGACCGTTCGAGGTTGCTCCAAGGACAGGTTTCTTGTAGGGTTTGTGTTTTTGCAGGTGCGTTTGTGACAACGCAAGTTGCTGTTTGTATTTGGCACTGTTGGCTTTTGTTTGCCAGGAGTTGATTGTTCGTGATGGCTCGACCGATGTGGAAAAAGGAAAAAGACGCAGTGAAAGTTTGAGCACAATGAACAAAGGGCATCGCTACTAGGAGCAAGGATGCTACTAGGGGCTCCTGGCCTTACTAGGAGCAAGAAGCTACAGTTGTCACAGCATTTGAAGCGCTGCTCGGATAGTCAGAGCACCTTCGAGCGTGTGCAGTACAGTTTGGATTCGAGACTCGGGAGCAAACAGAAAGGCAATTGCTTTCCTGTTGAGCCTGTAGCTTCTTGTTCCTAGTAGCGATGCCAGAAGCCCCTAATAGCGTCGTTGTTACTTGAGCTTTCCTGTTGAGCCTGTTTCAAGTGACTCTGAACTGGCATTGTTTGGCTTGAAGCACGGGAACAGAAGGGAGCAAATCGACGCTGATTGTTTGGACCCAAGTCTTGAGTCAGTTCGCAACTTACGGCCTTCGACTTCTGCTCTCCACGGAGGCCTCATATTGATCGTGATGAAGTGGTTGGTCTGAGGCTAAGTGATCTGGAAGTACGGGATCCTTTCGATCATTGCGATCGAATCATTTCTAAACGTCACGGTTCAAGCTTCTCCCCGCCCTGAAGTTCTTTGGTCGGGTGCCAAACCCGTTGCCAACAAACAAGGAGTTTCTCTACTTTGGAGGTACTCATCGCCATTTCTGCAGTTTCCGCCAATGCTGAATTCTACGCTGCGCTTGGACTCTTGGATGGCACTTCTTACAGCACACAGGATGCTGTGTTTTGTTTCGCTACTAGTAACAAGGACCCTATTAGGGGCTCCTGGCATCGCTACTAGGAACAAGAAGCTACTAGGGGCCCCAGGCATCGCTACTAGGAAGGAGCAAAGGGCATCGCTACTAGGAGCAAGAAGCTACTACGGGCTCCTGGCATCGCTACTAGGAACAAGAAGCCATTAGGGGCTCCTGGCATCGCTACTAGGAGCAAGGGGATGCTATTGGGCTCCTGGCATCGCTACTAGGAGCAATGGGGACGCTATTAGGGGCTCCTGGCAATGCTACTAGGAGCAATGGGATGCTATTAGGGGCTCCTGGCATCGCTACTAGGAGCAATGGGGACGCTATTAGGGGCTCCGGCATCGCTACTAGGAGCAAGAAGCTACTAGGAGCAAAGGGCGTCGCTACTAGGAGCAAGGGCTCCTGGCATCGCTACTAGGAGCAAAGGGCATCGCTACTAGGAGCAAGGACGCTATTAGGGGCTCTCCTCGCTCGCTAAGGAGAGTTTTGCGGCACAGCGTCTTGACTGCAAACTGGCGGTACTTGACCTTTGATGTCCAAGATCCAAGAAACCAATTTGCACAGGCATTTTGCAGCGAATCTTGGTTCGTTGTTTGGGAGTCCCATACATGTCTGATTCGGCAAGGTAATCACTCAGAAACTCTAGTACCTACTTGAAACCAAGAACCAATGTTCCCTCAAACATTTCTGAGCGATCTTGATTGTGTTGCAGGTAGGTACTAGTACTCCCTACCTGCCACTGGTAACTGGACAAAATCCTTATATTGAAATGCTTAAAGCAAACCAATATACAGAGAGAAGGAATGCATGGGGGTTGCGGTTGTGAAAGTTTTGCAATTGTAGCGTGTTGAGCATGATTCATAGGTTCTACAGTTGGGACAAGGAGGACACGGTCATGAAGTATTGGTTCTTCACCTTTTCCCCCGCGACACTGATTTGTATCATGTGCCATTCAGGTCCCCCTGCTTTTCTATGGCTCCAAACCTTCTGATTATATAAGATTTTGACAATCTTCAAATAGTTGCTCCTCTTCTCAAGTAGTTTAGTTAAGCCCACTGCGAGTTTGTTTTTTTTACACTTACTTATATAACTTATATACCTTATTCTGCCCTTGCCTTTGCTGGATTTGGTTTACCCCATCTCTCATGTGTATTGTTTGTTTCTTTGATGCGCGTCCTTAGCTTCAGAAGCTCTTCCCGTTCTCAGCGACGAGTGTTTCTTTTGGTCAAGCAGCTTTCTATACTTTCTATTGCTTGCCTCGCTGCTTGTGTTCTCAGTAAGGAAAGCATAACTCAAGAACATATTGTGGGATTAGACAAGATGCAAAAGCCGACTGGACCATACCCTGGTCATTAATGTACGTTCAACTGACTAGTTTCCTAGAGCTCATTGCTGGGTTGTGTTTCACTTGGACACTGGACAGTTGTTTCTCCCTTCTTAGCTGGTTTGCATTTGAGGGTGGGCACTTTCTTTCTTGATCAGCGTGTCCCTCTTGTAGTTACTCTTCCTCTTTCCTCAACAAGCCCTGCTTGGTCTCAAAAAGCTGTTCTCTTGCTGCAGTAGTTTTGTCTTTCTTGCCTAACTCTTTGTGTCCCCAACAATGTTCGTGAAGACCGGAATCAGATGAGCAGAAGCATCAATCAAGGAAAAAAGGGAGGTCCGATTGAGACCTAGTAGGTTCTATCAGTCTTTCATGAAGCATTTCTCTTCTTAACTTCTTAACTACTGTTGACTCAACAGTAGTTCCCATTCACTCTTGTTTTGTTTGTCCTATTGGTAGTTCGCGTGTGTTGTGATTCCCCATGCTTTAGCGCTTGGCTTTTTAGTTGTCCATATTGAATGGAACGGTAGCTAATGAATAGTGGTGGTAACTGATCCAGTAGATATGGGTAGGTGAAGAATAGGCAAGCAACAAGTTTCACAAGAGGGGATTGCGCATCCTGACATTATTGTCTTTGTTTAACCGACAAGTTGTCCATGAATAATACAGGGAATTGATCCAGTAGATGTTGGTAGATCAAGAGTAGGCATGAACAAACTTAAGAAGAGAAGACTTGTCACATATATAAATAAGTTTGACCATCCTGTATAGTTCTACAGTGTCTTGAATAGACAAATTTCTCAAAAGTTGTGGTAGTGACAAACCAATAGATGAAAACTAGGAAGAATCCAATTTTAGACGAAACTCTTCAATGAGCTGCGGGTGACCACATCAATTTACTTGTGCTGTTCGAAGTAGTTGGTTGATGTTGTTTGTGTTTCCATGGCGGTGCCTTCACTCGTTTCTCCCTACAGTCTCGTTTCAGAAGCAATGCGCAGGCTGACAATGGAGACGCACACCAATGCCAGGGTGGGTTGTCATGTAGCTCGGCAGCAAAGCGAAATTCGACGCTGTGTTTTCTAGTAATGCATTCCCACAGAATCACGGCGTGATCGGTTTTGTTCCGCTTTTCCAGGCTACATGCACAAATGCACTGCCGGGGGAAACCTACGTGGCCACGCTGGACACGCTGCCTATGACTACGGGCACGCAATGAGTTACGCTCACCATTCTGTGCACTATCCTTCGTCATACTCTCACTATTCCACGGTGCACTATCCAGCCTCCTACGTTCATCACGTCCATCATGTTGTGCATGTGGTGCACTCTCCAGCACCAGCCGCACCAGCCATTCACACCGTGCAGGTTCCAGCACCGGCGGTTCATCATGTCTATCACACAGTGCAGGTTCCAGCACCGGCGGTTCATCATGTCTATCACACCGTGCAGGTTCCAGCACCGGCCGTTCAGCATACCTATCACGTCGCCCATGTGGAACCAGCGGTTCATCATACAACCTATCATACCGTGCAGGTTCCAATGCAGCACTCAGCAACTTATGTGTCTCCCACAGTGGCGCATTACCCAGCCAACTACCCAGCTGCTTATCCAGCAACAGTTGCGAGCTCAGACGTGGTTGGAACGGCAGTGAAAGCTGAAAGTACATTCCAGTTGTTGTGATGAGATTAGCAAAGTAGGGATATCCATGCAACAGCTATATTGAACATTCTTAGCACTTTGGAGCCAAATTTGAGAATGTGAAGAGACTGGCTTGGGCCGTTTTGAAGGCGCAGGCGCCCGTGCAGACCTTTGACACATCAGCGTGGACCTCTGCAAAGCCTTCTGACTTCACCATGGAGAATCAGATGTGCAGCTCCACTACGGGCTTGGGAGCCAATGGAAAGCCATGCGTAAGGAGCCCAGGTTTTGCCTTAGCCGGCCCTGCCTCCTTAATCGAGTAGGCACCTACCAAATCAAGTAATTAAGGGAGAAGTTGGCTCCTAGTAACTGAACGCAGGATAGCTCACGCTCGCACTAATGATTTAGTTCTTGGATTTTTAGGGAAACGAGTCGACCAGTGGCTTTGGCGAAAGCATGCGAACGCCACATCCCGAGGCTCCCTGGCTTGGCTGCTATGTGCAAACAGCCCGGACTTGGCCATTTTTTGGGCACTACGTGAGCGTCTCATGGAGAGAAATACAAAGAAACATAAAGAAACGATATGAAGAAGCTACTAGGAGCAAAGGGCATTGCTACTAGGAGCAAAGGGCATTGCTACTAGTAGCTCCTGGCCTTACTACTAGGAACAAGAAGCTACTAGGGGCTCCTGGCATCGCTACTAGTAACAGAGGGCATTACCCCTGATGTCAAGCCCAGGCTCACAGCCCGGCCATTGGAACCGCTATTTGCAAGCCTAAAGTTGTCCGGGATCCAGACTTCGGGTCGTACCGCAGCGCTACCGCAGTGCTGCCCAAGGGGACCAGACAGCATTCAAATGATTTCGCATGATTCGTAGCGGTCGAATGCCCAAGGCATCTGGGCGCGCCCTTTGAACACGTAATTGTGCCTACTGCAGCCAATGTGCCAAGGTTCAAGTTGGTCAACGCTGTGGGGCTGCGGGAGCCTTATGGGTCCTTATCCAGTGAAACCACTGGCATTTGTGAGCACATATAACATCGTATAACATATAACAAGTATATACAAGTATGTGCTCCTCCAGCTTTGGACTAAGCTCTAGAGTCCCAAGCAGATTGAAAGGTTGAGCGTTGACCTCTTGGACTTGCTGATGCCACACAGAGATGATAACATGACATAATATGTAACACGTGGTCACATAAAGCACAATCAGCATATGCATATAAATAAGCATGTATTAATCAGGTGTAATCCAGGCTTTGGTGCTTTTTACGACACTTCTCCAAATGGTGTGTTGCCTTTTTTGTAACGGGGCGGAGGCAGATGCCGATTTTCTGCCTTTAGGCTCCACACATTTGATGCGATCCTTACTTGCCGTGCCCCTGCCTCCTGCTTAATCACAGTAAGTGAGGGAAGCTACTAGCTACTTAAGCCACACACGGACGCAGGACAGCTGCTTCTCCCCCCGCCTGAGGGCTGGAGCGCTCGCACTAATCATTTGGTTCGAACTAAAGTACTTGGGCGACCTAGACTGAAGGGATGGTTTAGCTGGACGGCCGCGGTTCTTCGATTCTTTGCACCAGTCGCCCGGAAACACACCTTTGAATCATCGTCTTGTTGCGTTCTCATACCCCAAACAAGCGAAAGACAAACACACAACTACCTTCGGGTTGTTTGGTGCATTCCTAGAAATCATTATTCGTTTCAGACTTTAGCGCAGCTTGGGGCTACAAGGGTCTACAAGGCTTACGGAGCGACATGATTTAAGCATGGTTAGTGTCTTTTCAGGCGCTGACGACCTACAGCAACATCAACGTCGGGCGATGCCCAATGTATTCCCACTGCGTTTCAGTGCCTGCCTCAGTAACAAGTTGGCTTTGGTCATGCTGGAGTTTCCGCAGTTTCCTTTGCAAACCATCTTTTCTTACACTTTGTTTAAGACTTCTAAGCAACATGATCCAAAACGAAAAGTTGAATCAGCTATGTGAGTTCTTGAAGCAAACATATAGGTGGGGGAGACAGTCTTCGGATGCATTCTTTAGACACGTGCCTTCCAGAAACACCGTAATTCGCAGTCTTTTCGTGTTTTCCGACACCTGTTGTTGCCACATTGTGAATAGGCAAATTTATGCCAGCATGTACCCCAGTCAGATAGCAAATAGTTTTTTGTGGGCAGCACCCTGCAACGGCACTTTGCAGCGCCAGCGCCAGCACCCAAGCTCCAAAGCGCACACGGCCACACATCTTGCAGCGATACCAGCACCCAAGCTTCAGAGCGCACACAGGCACCTTTTCCTATGCTCTTACTTCACAATGTGTTTGGAAGGGCACCTTCATAGCGCAGTTTTGTGCATTGTGCCTTGCAAGCATATCACTATTTACAGTGCTCAAAGATCTTCAACAGCACAGCATTGGCTTCTGCATGTTGCCTTCTAAAATAAGGCATTGCTTTTTACCTTTGATCAGTATTTGCCTTGCTCCGGTATTTAAAAGGCCTGGTGGAGAAATGTGCAGGCTTTGGCTTCGTCCTCATTGCGAACCGCACGCACCCAACGCGCAAGTCATCCTTCTTTTGTAACCGCAGCAGCTGCCCAGCAGCAGCGCCACCATAGTTCTTCACCCACACGGCCACACATTTGGCAGTGGCACCCTGCAGCGGCACCAGCACACAAGCTCCAACACGCACGCAGCGGCGCCAGCACCTTAAGGAATGCGGCACACGCCTGCACGCACCCATTTGATATTGCACAGCAGACACGGGGTGCACTAGTCACTAGTGAACTTCGTCTTTCCTTGTGTCTCGGTCTGTTGCGCTTGAGTCGCTACTTGTCCGCTTTCGAGGGCCACCCTGTGTGCAATCGATCCGGTTTTGGACTCCGCCTTGGACCTTTCTGCTCAGCCATGTGATCCTCTTTCCGACTTCGTTTCAACAACTGTTACCACGTGGATAGAGGCTCGTTGGACTAGGAAGGGCTAGGTAGTTGCTGTGGTTTCTTGTGTTTCGCGCTTCGCGTCCTTACCCTGCAAACGTTCGTCGGACCTCTAATTCTCTTTTGTTTGTGCACACATACTGTCACGACGTTTGCTAGGTGCACGTACTCGTTTTTTGCAGATGTGTCACCTGCTCGGTCGCGGACTCCTCCGGGTCGACGTGCCCAGTTGCTCCGCTGAAGAAAGAAACGTCGCTTTTGCCAAGCCTCTCGGGGCAATGCACGGCACCGTCCGCAATGCACGCTTGGAGGGGAAAAAAGTAACTTTTGCCGAGCCCTTGTCAAAATGTACTTTTTGTCCTTAGTGGCCCTGATAGAATGATAGCGTTGGTTAAACGAACTCAGTCCGAATAAGCACACGTTCCTCACCGTCAAAATTGACCGCCAGAAGGAACACAATATGAACAGATACTGTAATCCGACAGAAAAGCAGCTTCAGAGATTTCTGTTTGGAGCTTAGTGATTGCTGACGTTTGCAGCTCCAAACTTCGACCGGGGTTAGTAACGAGAAGTTGGTTGGTTAGTACATGTTACGGTTGGTTTGTTGGGAAGCGAAAACAGAAGCGAAGGAGAAGAGACGTTTCACGGACTTCACCGGATGCTGAGGATGTCACCTACACACAAGGCGCCCACTGCGCAAGCGTGTTAGGAAGGCACTGTGTTAGCATTGTTTTGGTTTTCTATCTACGTAAGGTTTGGTCTCGCGACTTTCGACACCGTTTCGTCCAGGCTTGTTGGGAGCTGGCACATGCTTTCAGAGTCCGTGAGATACCCAAGCTTGGACTCGTCTAGCGTGTTCGGTGATGTATCAAGTTGTCGCTGAGGTGGGAGAGGTTGGGAGATTTTTTCGACCCTTGGCACAACTACATCCACCCTTGGAACAACTACGTCCGATGAACATCCGGGTGGTGCAGGCTCACATCGGCTTGACTTGGGCTCCAAAATGCTTTTGATGCCAAAGCTGCAAAAGTTGCTTTGCAATTTGCGCAGGTCGAAGGCATGCCAATATTGAGTCAGGACGGCCACAAGAGGCTTTTGAGCCAATCGGAAGTGACAATTCGGCACCTGAATACCGGAAGAATGAAAAATTACGTAGTTCATCGGTTTTTTTTCATCGGGTGAGCCCGAGCTTGTGCTCATGAATCGCAGATCCACATTTCAGAGCGCTGTGGTTCGATTGCCTGCTGTCTGTACTTGAAGATTGCATGGTGCCGAGCGGCGTTCAAGACTTCTGTTTTTTCTTTTGGCTGAACCTTGTTATGCGCAGGTCATCATAAGTTTATAAACAAGCTGTTCCTTGTCTAAAGCTTCAGAGGAGGTTTTTCGCGGAAATACTGTCTGAAGATGTCTGAAGAGCTCGGCACGAATGCCCAGATTTCACAAGCTGCTGTGCCAATGAGCGAGATTGCAGCGGAGCAAAGGGAATTGCGAGTCGTGTGTCCTCTATTGGTACGTGGGTTAATCATTTCTCATGGTTTCTAAAGGTCAAATAGTTCGGGAAAAGACATAAACGAACATAAGGATACATAAGGCGTCTTTTTGTTGCTACGCAATTTTCGCGACAAGCAGCTCACAAAATGCAAATGAAGCACAAAGTGGTTGGCAACGTAGCTGTAGGTGTTGCATGACATTGTTGGAAGAGAGCAGTGAATTGGCTCTTATCAATCATTGGCGACAAAGGCCTTCTCAACCTAGATGCTCAAGAACATTGAGAGACTTAGCATGGCTTAGACAAGTTTCTTCAGAGTCATCAGCATCATTCAACAGCAGTTCTCAACAGTTGGCAACTCCGCCATAGGCTTTCACCCATGAAGGCCAGTGGCTAGAGTGGTTTACATAGTTTGCAACGGAGAGGATCAGAGAGAGGTCCTCAAGTTGGTCACTTTGAGTGCTCTCAGGGAAAGGGCGGCATGCCAAGGATGTATGGCCCGGCACTGGCCTCGTTACGATATCCCGTGTTCATAGAAACAAGATGGAGCCCACGAACCCGACTGCAAACACGTTCGAAGAGCTACATATGTCCAAACGACACTCTTGTAGGACACTCTTGTGTGACACTCTTCTGGGTCACTCTTGTAGGAAACTCTTGTGGGACACTCTTGTAGGACACTCTTGTGGGACACTCTTGTAGGACACTCTTGTGGGTCACCCTTGTAGGAAACTCTTGCGGAGCACTCTTTTGGGGCACTCTTAGGAATCTCTTGTGGGTCACTCTTACGGCGCTCTTGTAGGACACTCTTACGGGACACTCTTGTGGGACACTCTTGTAGGACACTCTTGTGGGTATGGGACACTCTTGTGGGACACTCTTGGGGGGTAGGGCCTTTGTGAGGGGCACCCTTTGTGAGCTTGAAAAAGTTAAGATTTTGATAGAGTTTGAATAAGGGAAAATAAAAGGCTTTTGCTAGAGCGCTTTTGGGGTTTTGGTGCATGGTTGGTAGCATGAGACCTGAGGAGAAGCCATCAAAAGGATTGGTGAGCAGGATGAGGCAGTTGAGAGGTGGTGGCGAGAATCAGGAAGATGAGGAGATGCAGATATTGAATACTACCAAAAAAGAAAAATACAAAGAAACATATATAAAAGAGATTGGAGACTAGCCAAAAGAATGTAATGCAAAAAAACTATAAATAAATAGTAAACAATATTTTTTGGGGGGGGCAGCTGGGATTGATTAATAGGGGGAGGTTTCTGCACAGGAAAAAACAAGATGATGGAGCCCACGAACCCGAATGCAAACACGTTCGAAAAGCTACATATGTCCAAATGACACTCTTGTAGGACACTCTTGTGGGTCACTCTTGTAGGAAACTCTTGTGGGACACTCTTGCAGGACACTCTTGTGGGACACTCTTGCAGGACACTCTTGTGGGACACTCTTGTGGGACACTCTTGTGGGACACTC